CATTAAACTTCTTCCTGAGAGGCGTCTAATTATCTAATTACCCATTTATCCAAAGCCCAGAGGGCCTCATCTTGCTTTCCATCCAGAATCCTGACCAGGGTGGGCTGTCGGTGGGTGACTGCAGTGGGCTGCCACTTAAGCCTTTGTAGAACTGGGTGGTGACCAATGCTCCTTGTTCCTTTTTAAACACAAGCCTGGTTCATAGATGCAAACTGATCCCCAAGGAAATTCTTGAGAAATAATCTAAGTCCATTCTACCTATACAGAGACAACATAATTCCAAAGTGGTTCTTAAGTTGTAATATAGATAGTGACTCTGGGTGATGGCTGCATGTGAAACTGAGCAGGACCCTGTGGGGCCCTCCTGGGTCCAGATGCTTTCCACGTCCCTGTTTCTTGTTTGTAGTTAGTAGGCTTCATTCAGCCTCTTTGACCTTCCCTGAGCTCCCAAGGGCAGATCCAAACATTTGCTAATCAGGGAAGGGAGGGATGGCAGAAACAAGGGAGGAGCAGCAGTGGAGCCTTAGGGCAAGGTCCTGGTTCCTCCTTAAGGAATACACAGAACAATGTCTTTGAGTTCTTCAGTCAGAACCAAGGCCCCCACCCAGGTGGAGGATGGGCTGAGCACAGGATTCCTGGAGCACCGCCCTGTGACCTCACCATCACCCATCAGAAGAAAGTCATACACCCTGCAGCTCTCACCCCAAATTTTGCCTAGAAAAACTTCTCCCCCAAAACTATCCAAGAGTTTGTGTTTTTTTGAGCACTAGCCACCCATTCTCCTTGCTTGACTTTGCAATAAACCTTTCTCTGCTTCAACCAAACTGACATACTTAAGACTGTTTGGCTTCACTCTTCATGGGCACACAAACTCGTGTTAAGTTAACACACAGGGGTTTATTATCCTGCTCTATTATCCTATTCCTACTTTGTATAAGCTTTTAATTTTTCATAACAAGATTAAAAAAAGATTTAACTGAAGGAAGAAAGACTTTGTAGCTGATGTAGTAGAGAGAAATTCGCCACTGCAAAATACGTTTTTTTTGGCATATTATTTTAAGCTGGTTACTTTCTAAGAAACTAGAGACATTCGAGAAACTGAAAACCAAGTGGGAATTACCCTTCTCTAAGAAACATTTACATTTGTAAGGGAAATCTCGGTTTGTAAAGGTGTATCCCTGGGAAGAGGAGGATGACCAAATCTCTAGAAACTCTTTATCAGTGCAGAAGGCAAGGACTTAAATCTGCATAAACAACCAGGCTTTATTTCTACTTCTACTTTCTATTTCTGCTTTATGTCTACTTTTGAAGGCTAATTTCACATGGTACAGAACTCTACGTTGGTGGCTTATTCTCTCAATACTCTACATACCTCACTCCATTGTCTTCTTGCTTGCATTGTTTCATTTCTGAGGATAACTCAAATGTAATTCCCTTTGTTTTTCTAAAAATATACTTATGTAATTGAATCACTTTGCTGTACATCTCAAACTAACACGTTGTAACTCAACTATACTCCAATACAAAATTTTACTCTTAGCAACTTTTAAATATGCAATACAGTATTATTATTATTTTTTTTGCAATACAGTATTATTAACTAAAGTCACCACACTGTACATTACATCTTCATGACTTATTTATTCTATAACTGGAAGTTGGTACCTTTTGACCACTTTTACCTAGATCACTCACCTCTCACTCCCTCCACTTCTGGCAACCACTGAATTGTTCTCTGAATGGATGAGCTTATGTGTGTATATGCGTGTGTGTGTGTGTGTTTTAGTTCCACATGTAGGTGAAATCATACAGTATTTATCCTTCTCTGTCTGACTTATTTCATCTAACCTAATACCCTGTAGGTCCATCCACGTTGTCACAAATGGCAAGATTTCATTCTTTTTTTATGGCTGGAAAATATTCCATTTTATATATATATTGGCATATTATATCATATATATACCACATCTTCTTTATCCATTTATCCATGGAGGGACACTTAGGTTGTTTCCATATCTTGGCTATTATAAACATTGATGCAATGAACATTAGGGGGCATATATCTTTTTGAGCTAATGTTTTTATTTTCTTCAGATAATACCCAGAAGTGGAACTGCTGCATCATATAGTAGTTCTATTTTTAATTTTTTACCTCCTTACTGCTTTCCATATGGCTGCCCCAATTTACATTCTCATCAACATCCTCACCAGCACTTTCTTTACATCCTCACCAACACTTGTTATTTCTGTCTTTTTGATAATAATCACTTTGATAGGTGTGCGGTGATATGGTGATGTCTCATAGTGATTTTGATTTACGTTTCCCTGATGATTAGTGATGCTGAGCACCTTCTCATGTGTCTGTTGGCCATCTATATGTCCTTTGGAAAAACGTCTAATCAGACCTGCCGATTGTTTTTATTTTTTGTTTGTTTGTTTGTTTATTATTTATTTTTTGCTATTGAATTGTATGATTTTATATATTTTGGAATATTTACCCCTTATCAGCAATATGATTTGCAAGTATTTTCTCTCATTTAATAGGCTGCCTTTTCATTTTGTTGATAGTTTCCTTGACTGTGCAGAAGCTTTTCAGTTTGATGTAGTCCCTCTTGTTTATTACACTTTCACTGCTCCTATTTTTGGTGTCAGATTTAAAATATCCTTGCCAGGACCAATGTCAAGGACTGGTGTGAAGGAGTTTAATGTCTGTGTTTTCTTCTAGGATTTTTTTATGGTTTCAATTCTTATGTTCATGTCTTTAATCCATTCTGAATTAACTTTTGTGTATAGTGTAAGAAAGTGGTCCAATTTCATTCTTTTGCATGTAGCTGCCCAGTTTCCCAACATCATTTATTGAAGAAATTGTTCTTTCTCTATTGTGTATTCTTGGTTCCTCTGTCATAAATTAATTGACCATGTATGCACGGGTTTATTTCTGGGCTTTTCTGTTCCATTGAGCTATGTGCCTGTTTTTATGCCAGTACTTTACTGTTTTGATTACCCTAGCCTTGCAAAGTAGTTTGAAATTAGGGAGCGTGATGCTTCCAGCTTTGTTCTTTCTTAAGGTATTTTGGATATTCAGGGTGTTTTGTGGTGCCACACAAATTTTAGGATTGGTTGTTCTATTTCTGTGCAAAACGCAATTGGTGTTTTGATAAGGATTGCATTGAATCTATAGATTGCTTTGGGTAGTATAGACATTTTAACAATATTAATTTTTCCAATCCATGAGCATTGACTCTCTTTCTGTTTATTTAGTCTTCTTCAATTTCTTCATCAGTGTATAGATCTTTCACTTCTTCGGTTAAATTTATTCTGTTGTAAATGGGATTGTTTTCTTAATTTATCTTTCTAATAGCTTGTTGTTAGTGTATGGAAATACAACAGATTTTTGGGTATTGATTTTGTCTCCTGAAACTTCACTGAATTTGTTTTTTCATTCTACCAGTTTTTTTCAGTAGAGTGTTTGGGGCTTTCTTAGTCCTCTACTGACAGCAATACAACTTACCAGTTCCCAGGACATTTTGTTTTTCTTTTTACTATTTTATTGAAGCACAGTTGATTTATATATATATATATATATATATATATATATATATATATATATTTTTTTTTTTAGTGGAGTTACTGGGGATTGAACCCAGAACCTCATGCATGCTAAGCACATACTCTACCACTGAGCTATACCCTTCCTCCACAACAATGTTGTATCAGTTTCCAGTGTACAACAAAAAGATTCAGTTATATATGTGTATGCATATATTCTTTTTCATTATATGTTACTACAAGTCACTGACTATAGTTCCCTGTGCTATACGGCAGGACGTTCTTTTTTTTAAGAGGACAGAAGGTAAGATATTTAGAGAAGCCTTGTTCTGAGGCCTGACTGGTATTAGCCACATGTGGATGTTTAGTGTTACAGGAGCTCAGCACTGAGCACCACATTCTGAAAGGTAACCATGAGCTCTTTAGTAAGCTGTGTGTTTGTGTATGTGTGTTGACATCTGCAGGGCTCTCTGTATCACGGAAGCTCTGTTGGACCTCTGGCTCAGGGGGAGATGTGGAATATTTGTAGTCCTTTGTCAGCTCCTTACCTTGGGAGTAACTTCTCTCACCTTTCCCCACACTCTTTTTATATTGCCATCTAATTAAAAAGAAGTCTAAAATGTAATACAGTCATCTATTTCCCTATTTAAGAAACAAATTTTAATCGTGAGATCATGAAGATATTCCCCTATTTTAGCTCCTAAATGCACTGCAGTATGTCCACTCATACAGCTGGAAGTGGCTTCTATACATAGTATGAGTTTGATTTTCTGGATCCCTTCTCATTAAATAGCTGAAATTTAACTGAGGAGAAAGGATATCTTTATAACATCCAATCTTCTTACTATTTTATATGGTAACTCCTGTCATTTATTTTGTCCTTTAAAAAAAATCTTCTGTAACGCTTCACAGTCAAGTCATCTGTGTAAAACACCTGTGTATTTTTGTTAGATTTCTTTCGGTATCTGATAGTTTTTGGTCCTGTTACAAATGGCAACTTTCATTTTCCGATTGATGCTGGTATACTGAAATGCACTTGAATTTTGCATATTAACCTTGTATGTAGCAACCTTACAACATTCACCTGTTAAATAATTCATTTGTAAGATATTTTGAATTTTCTATGTAAAAAAAATCATACCATTTGATAATAATATTTTTACTTTTTTCTTCCCTATTATGCTTGTTCCTTCCTTGCCTGATTGTTAAGAATGCCAACACGATGTTGAATAGATGTCTCATTTCCATTCTCAGAGAGAAAACTATCAGAATTTTATCAATGCTGTAGTGTTGTGGTAGACACTCTTCAACAGATTAAGGAAGTTCCCTTTGTTATCTACTTCGCTAAATTTTAATTTTTATTTTTATCATGACTCCATACATTAATCCGGGAAGGCTGACTTAACAAAATGTTACGACTGAGTGGCTTAAACAAAGGAAATTTTTCTCACGGTGCTGGAGGTCCAAGATCAAGGCTCCTGCAGGCCTGGTTTCTCCGGAGGCCTCCTTGTCTTGTACATGGCCTCTCTGTGCCTGCCCACAGTGTTTCCTCGATGCATACACTTCCCTGGTGTCCTCTTTTGAGGAAGTCATATTGAAGTAGGAATCAACACAGTGCTAAAGAGGTGACAGCAAGAATCTTTGAGTTTCGTTGTCAGAGAGAGCACTATCAGAATTTTATCATCAGTGTGGGTTTTGGGTAGGTATCAATGAATACATTAAGGAAATCACTTTTTTCCTAATTTGCTAAATTTGTTTTAAAAACAATCACTGACTAGTCATATTAAATTTGTCCTCACTCTCATCTAACCTTGATTACCTATTTCAAGATCACACCTCCAAATACAGTTTGAGATGGGACACATTCAGTCCTCCGTAACTGTAGACAGGTGAATTTTATCAAATGATTTTTCTGCCATCTACTGAGATAATCCTATGATTTGTTTTCAGTTCCATTCTGTAGTAAGAAAAAAAAATTGATTATTCAGCTAGGTTTGCTATTGGTCTCTGGCTTTATATACACTTCATTGGCTGTGAAGATATGCATATGTGATAAACCTGTCAAGAGAAACAACCAGAGGAGGGTATAGCTCAAATGGTAGAGCACATGCTTAGAATGCAAGAGAACCTGGGTTCAATCCTAAGTACCTCCTCTAAAAATAAATACATCTAATTACTTCCCCCCAAAATAAAATAATCAAGTAAGACAGAAATAAACTACTTTTTTTAAAAAAAAACAAGGGAATTATTAATATTAAATAAGAAAGCGGATGCCTCAGGCTGAGGAAAATGGGAACATACTATGATGGAGTCCATCAGGGCCGCTCAGCTACGTACCCTTATTTCCTAACCTATACCTGGGTTTTCATTTTACTATTCTCCTTTAAATGGTACCTCTATATGTTAATCCAATCTTACATGCATGCTTTTCATTAAAAAACAAAATCAGCCACACTCGAAGCTGAAATGTGACTGAAAAAATTAGAAATGGAGTAGAAGTATGCTTAAATGTTGGAACCAGGGAGAAAAGTGGCAGCAGGTTAACCCTGTAGAGACATGGACACAAATCTTCCATGCATGGGAAGGAGTGGGGACAATCTGCTGTTTGCTCTGTCACAAATCAAAACATAAAAATCATTAGGCTCCCAAAAGAAGAAAAAAAAAAGAAAGAAAAGAAAAAGTACTATTTTGTAACAGATATGACAAAACACTCTTTTTCAATGTCAAATATCTCCCAGGCAGACGTATAAATGATCTCATCTAATGCTCATAATTTCTTGACATGATAGACAAGATCTCAAATTTCAGGTGAGGCTTGACTTAAGATGCACCATTGGTAATAAGCAAAACCCAACTCCTGTTAAAAAAAAAAAGAAGAAGCAATAAATCTGCTTGACTTTTGCCCCGGAGGAAGACTGGACAATATACAAATCTCCCTGTGCCCCAGATGGAGACACCGACTCTTATCTTCCAAGGCTGTTTCCCATAAAAACATCCGGGCAAACACTGTGTAGCCCTCAGTTCCTCGCTCCCGACACGCAGTAAAGCAACAGACCCAATGAAAAGTGTCCCCGCAAAACTCTTCTCTCC